GCTGCGGGAAAGCGGGTGGGCAAAGGGGCTGCGGCAGAGCGCGGCTCGCCTTGCCTTGCGTTTCGTTCTTCTGTCGTTATCGGTCTGGCCGTCTTTCCGATGTCTTTTTCTGGCTCTCTCTTTCTTTTTGCTTTCTCTTTCTGTCTTTGTCTTCTTCCTTTCTTTCTTTCTTTTTCTTTCTTTCCATCCTTTTCTTTCTTTTTCTTTCTACTTTTTTCTAATCTTTTTTCTCTTTTCCTTCTTTCTTCCTTTCTTTATTTTTCTCTGTCTGTTTCTTTCTTTTTTCTTTCTTTCATTCCTCTTTCTTTCTGTGTGTCTTGTCCTACTTTCTCTCCTTCTGTCTGTCTTTCTCGGTGAGACCCGGTTAACACATTTGATTTTTTAATTTGTTAGATACATTCGTTAATTTCGGTTCCTATAGTTGAAACGTAAGTAGCAAAATAATACTAATAGTCGCCGTAGTCGGAGTAATAACGAGGATGACTGTAATGATAATAACAGTCTTCATCGATAACGGTCTCAAATCAAACGCCAGAAAATCCCCGTTTTTCCGGGGACCCGCGGGAACCGCAGGCTTTTTTCACCTGCCGAGATGTCCCCGGTTTCCTCTTTAGCTCCCCTCCTACAACGAATCGGTAAATATCCGCGGCTCCCGTTAGCTGAACCTCTACGAATTATTATTGTTTCGCCAGCAGCATCGCTACCGGCAGCGTTAGCCTTTCCCGTACTGTTCTTTTCCATCGCTCGCAGCGCACGGGCGGTGCTGCCGCGGCGGGCGGGGAAGAGCGGGGGCCGGGGGGTTCACCCTCCCCGGGCCCGGCCGCGGGAACCTGCCCGGGGCACCCCGCCGCAGGGCTGTTCATCAGGGAACTGTGCGGAGAAATAAGCGTGTGCGGACGTGTGCGCGGAGCGCGCTGCCGCCTCCCCCGGCCCTGCGTGGCCCCAAGCCCCGGCTCGCTGCCGCTCTCCCCCCCGCTAGTCACTTGCTGCCCCGCGGCTCAGCGGGGAGCCGGGGCTGCTGTGCCAAGCCCGAGCCGGGCCGCCCCCAGCTCCCCTCCAGACTCTGCACCCACCCCCCCCTCCGCAGCCCGGGCTCGCCGGGGGACCATCGGGGCGCAGGGGTTGGGGGGCGGGAGGGACGGCGGGGCCGGGCAAGGGCCGGGGGAACGGGCAGAAAGGAGGGATCGCGGGAGGGACGAGAGGAAGAGATGCGGGCGGAGGGGTGAGTGCGAAGAGCGGACGGAGGGAAGGCGGCGGGCGCTGGGGCTGTGTCCCAGCTGGGCCCCGGGGGCGCGGGGAGAGCCCGTCGGGGCCGTGGCGCATCTGCAGCACAGCCCGGGCTCAGGGTGCGCGGGGGACCCGGTCTGGGGGACCCGGGCACCTCCGCAGCACAAGGGCCGCGGCTCGGTGTGAGCACGGCCCCGGCGCTGGAGCGGAGCGGGGGTGTCCGTGCCCGGGTGCACCTGGCCCGGCCCGTGGGGAACGGCGCCGGCGGGGAGACCCCTGCGAGGGAGGACGAAGGCAGCAGCCCCCGGTGTCCGCCCCCACCTCGCCTGAAAGGTCTGGGGGATTGCGGGGTGCGGAGCCCAAACGGGGGAGGGGGCGGCAGCGGATACCTGCTGCGGGGAGAAGCCTCGCCGGGGCCGGGGAAGGTGGTGGAGCGGCTGGGAGGCGGCGATGCTCGGGCTCCGGGGGCTGTGCCGCGGCTGGTAGCTGCCGTCGGGGGGTGGGGGGACGGGGAACTCGTTGCAACGCGTTGATTTCCTCGGTGCCGCCACGGGCTTTTGCACTGCCGGGGCCGGAGCGTTTCGGGGCTAAGTAGATGTGTGTCTTCGGAGGGCGGGGGGGGTGTTTGCCCTTCTTCCCCGTCGAGCTCTCGGCGTTTCCGCAGCGTGGAGCCGTTCCCGGCGGAGAGGCGGAGGGACAACCCTGACCTTCCCTTCCACCTGCTCGGGCGAGGTGTGAGCCGAGCGGAGAAGCCCCCCTCGCCTTCTCCCTGGTGCCCTTCCGACAGCCTCCGGGCTCCATCCATTTCCCCCCCGCCGGCCCAGGGACGACCGCAGAGCCGGGGGCAAACCAGTATCGCTAACAGCGGGGTCAGCAACCCCTCGTCGAGGCTGGATGCGCCTTGCAGGGCTCCGGAGATGCGGAGCGGCCGGCGAACGGGACAAGCGCCCGCGGGGCTGAGCGAGACGCCTGGCAAACGCGGCCTCTGGGTTTAGGCCCTTTTGGGGGTGCAGGAGAGGGGACAACCCCGTTTTCAGCACAGCGCCGTGCTACTCGCTCACTCGGGTGTGCTCTGCCGCTGCGGGGTTCCCCCGTCGCGGGGGAGCCGGGGCTGGTTTCGCCTTCCCGTCGTCTCAGCTCCGCCCGGCGCCGCTCACGCGTGTGCGAACCCCGCGCGGCCTGCGAGGCCGGGCACGGGGTGCGGGAGCGGGGCGGCGGGGTTTCCTTTCAGGGATTTGGGGTTTCGGGGCTGCAGCCCCGCGGCTCAGCGGGGACCCGCTCCGCTGCCGCCCGGGGGCCGGCTGGCAACGATCCCCGGCGGGTCCCGTATCCCCGGCAGGCACCGCTCAGCCCCGACACCGCTGGGCGGGTGGACAGGCCGGAGGGTCCGTCCGCGCCCGGGCTGTCCCCGACGTGGCACCGCTTCCAGCTGGGGCTTTACCTAAGGAGCAGGGAAGGAGAAAGGCATAAACCTAGGAAACGGTGCGGGCAAGCAAGGCACGGGCAGCAGCCCCCAGCTCCCCGACTCTGCTGGGGCGCTGGATTCGGGGCTTTTCTTACTTTCCGGAGGGGGGGGCGGGGGGGGGGAGGGAGGGGGGAAGATTTTTTTTTCCTCCCTGGGCAGAGGCTGCCCAGAGCCGAGCACACCTCGGGGAAGGGGCTGGTGCCCCGTGTCCCGCTCGCATCAGCCCTTGATCTTCCCGGAGGCGGCTTGCAGCTCGCACCCGCGGCTCCTCGCTTTCCTCCGGTATTGCCCCGAGGTGCCCTAACGAAATCCCTTCCCCTCCTCCTTGTATTGCCGCCAGGTAAGCAGCGCGGGTCAGCACTGGGACACTCTTCTCCGTGGCGTGTCCCTGAGCTCGGGATAGAAACTGCCCCGGCCGGGAACCGCGCTGCCAGCAGCAGCGAAGAAACAGAACACTGATCGTGTCACGCTCTGCCCTTATGCCGTTAGCTGCAGGAACATATGCTCAAATATGTAAGAGTAGTCTAGATTTTTCTCTGCAAATATTTTTACCACATCCAAAGATAATATTTCAACAGAAGAATCAAGCCCCGCAGGCTACAGACAGGGCAGCTATATATAACCCGCTTGCTCACTCCGGCTCTCCGCGCATCGCTCGGGTTATGCAACCCCCATCGCGCCAGTAGCCACCGGCGCGCCCCACGGCTCCGCCCGCCCCGTTGGGGCATTTCCCCCGGGACTTCGGTGCAGCCACCCGCCCGGAGGGACCGGCACCGGGACTGGTACCGGGACTGGTACCGGGGCCGGGCCGGGCCCGGCGGGGCGGGCGCGCCGCCTCGCCCCGCGCCGATGCGGAGGAAGGGCCCGGGGGACGCCGCGGCGCTCCGAGGGGCCGGTGCCGGGCGGTGAGTAGCGCCTCACGCTCGCCGGGGCAGGGAGGGGAACGGGGGCGGCCCTCCCCGGCGGCAGGCCGTGCAGGTGCTGCCGACGGAGCGGGCTCTCACGCCGGGCCGGGCAAGGGCTCGCCTGCCGCCCCGCCGGTTGCTTTCCGTTTTCTCCGCTTTATTTTCGGCGAAGGAAATGCTCGAACGCCGGCGGGTGCTTTGGGGGTTTGGTGGCCCGGGGCTGGGGGGGGGGTGTCCACCCCGCACCGGCGAGGCGCCCGGCGGTACCCGCGCCCGCAGCACACCCCGACGTGCCCGGCCCCCGCCCGTTGCGGCGGCTCGGGCTGCGAATCCCCGCGGGCGCCGACGTCCCGCGGTCGGGCCGGGGCAGCCCGCAGCCCCGCGGTGGATGCGGGCTGGAGGAAGGGCGCAATCCCCACTTCTCGGTGCCGGACATCCGCAGCGTGACGCCGGGCTCGGCTCGGCTGGGCTCGGCTCTTCCCTTCCCGTCGGCCGGCTCCCGGCGCCGTGATTGACACCGCCGGCCCCTCCGCCCGCCCCGCAGCACATCCCATCCCTCCCCGCCGGCCGCTCGCCGTGCCCGGGAGGCGGGGAAGGGCCTCCCCAGCCCTTTGACACCGTCTCGGCAGGAGTTTCACTTCGCTTTCGCCGCCGCCGCCGCCGCTTCTGCAGGCAAACACCCCCGGCTTCCATGTGACGCCTCCCAGCCACTGAATGGGGGAAAGCGCCTATAAGGGAGCCACTTTCCCTACGTGCAGGAGAAAAGGAGGGGACGGGGGGGAAGAAGCAGGAGGTGGTGGTTGGGGGGAAGGGAAGAGAGAAAATAAATTAATAAATCGCAGGGAACGAAGCTGGGGGGACAGAAACTGAGACCCCGGGGAAGAAATTCGTGGGGTTATTTATTCCCCCGTCCCCCCCGTCCCCCTCCCGCTGACAGGGCTCGATCCGGCCCGTTGTGGCGCTCGGCGCTGTCTGCAAAGGGCCCCGGGGAAGTTTCTTGCTCCCCAGCGCCCTTCCCGGAGGGGGGGGACGACAGAGGGTTTGGGTTGTTTTCTGTTGTGGTTTGGTTTTTTTTTTGTTTTTTTTTTTAAGCTTCCCCCCCCCCCCCCCCCATCTGGAAGGAGGGGGGTCTCGCTCGCACCTCCCTGGATGGTGCGGTAGAAAGGAGGGGAGTAAGGGGGTGGGAGGGGGGGCTCGTGGTGGGAGGCTGCCGCGGCTGCTGCTCCTGCATTGGTGTCTCCCCTATGGACGAAAACAGCCCTCTGTCTCCCAAGGCAAATGCTTTCAGTATCGCCTCTCTGATTTCAGTCGCCGCCGCCGCCGAGCAAGCAGGGAAGGGAGCACTGGAGGAGCGCCGCGGCGGCCGCAGCGCGCCCGCCCGCCCCGGCTGCCGCCCGCAGAAGATGCACTTCAGCACCGTCACCAGGGACATGGAAGGTGAGCGCCGCGCTCGGCTCCGCAGGGCTGCGGGGACGGGACCCCCCCCCCGGGCCACGGCGTCTCGGAGAGTTTTCACGCGTCCCGGCCCGGCGGCAGGAGCGCGGCCTGGCCGCGGCGCCGGTCGGAGGGGGCTTTGCCGTGCCCCCCCGGCAGGCCCGGGCCCCCGCAGCCCTCCCTGGGAGAATAAGGCTCTGCCCGTGCCCCGGTGGCGGCTTCCGACGGCTCCGCCGCTTGGACCCGCGTCTCCTCGGAGGTGCTGGAGCATCCTCCGACAGCGCCGGCCGTGCCCAGGGCAGCGGCGGGCCGGGGCTCGGCTCCCGCTGGCTCTGCAGCCCCTGTCCGGCCCGGGGGCCGCGGCAGAAATAACTCAAGAGACCCCCAGGACCTCGAGGAGCCTTTCACCATCGGAGGGGATCCGAAGGAGCCGTCCGTTCCCCGGGGCGGCCTGTCATGCGCCGCAGGGCCCGCTCGGGCCGGCGGCCGAGGGCTGCGCGGCCGGGGCCGTCCCGGCGCTCCTCGGCGCGGACCCGGAGCTTTGCTCTGGTCCCCGTCTGTTCCCCCTCTTTCGCCCGGGGATGGAAAGAAGGGGGGATTGCCAAACCAGATCCGCCTTCCCCTGTCAGCTGCGGCCCCGCGGCCCCAGAGCGAGGGACATTACCTGCAGCACCGTAGCTACACGGAAATAAGAACCGGTTTCTTTCTTTGAGTTCCCCCCCCCCCCTTTTTTTTTTTTTTTGGGGGGGGGGGGGGGGTAGTTTGCTTTGTCCCAAATCGTGTGCGGCGAGGGAGGCCTTCTGCACAGATAGCACGGGCTCTGCACCGCCGCGGCTCTTGGCAGATCTCTCGGGTTTGCAAAGGAAAAAAAAAAAAAAAGAAGAAGAAAAAAAAGTTAAAAAAAAAAAAGAAGAGCCGAGGCAGGCAGGCAGCGGGAGCAGCGAGCTCCCCGCCTGCCCCGGGGGGAGCGGGGCTGGGGCCAAGCAAAGCGGAAAGGGGGAGCCGCCCCGCTGGGCTGGGCGCGGGGCAGGAGAGGAGGCGGAGGGCACCCCGCGGAGCCGGCGCGGCGCGGAGGCGGGGGCCGCGCGGAGCGGCGCGGAGCTCGGGGGGGGGAAGCGGGAGCCGGAGCGGAGCCCTGACGGCCTGTTTTTGGAATGATTTCAGCTATCTCCAGCCCCTGGCTCACCCAGCTGTCCCATTTTTGCGATGTTGCAGCTTTCACGGCCAACAGCCTGAGCAGCCTGAACGCCTCCGGGGGGTACCACCTCTCCCCCTCCCCGGGGGACCCGTACGGACAGCATGAGCCGCCGCACTACGAGCCCTGCACGGCTCAGCAGCACCCGCACCCGCCGCCCCAGCCCCAGCACGGCTACCCCTTCGGCGGGGCGGCGACGGCGGCCGGGGCCAACCCGCCGCCCCCAGGCCC